CAGCATACCTATATACATATATACTGTATCTAATTATTACGACCAATAGACAATTTATTGAACCCACAACTCTGTTTTGCTTTTTTTCACAACAACTACAAACCACAGCCCAAATAAGGTAATCACCAAGGCCTACAACATACCTGCTGGTCTCAATCGATCTGCTTTTCAGGCGGATAGCTGAAAACAGTTGGAAGTTCCACTAAGCAACAGCTTCTCATTCACTTGACCAAAGGTGACACAAATATTTAGTATTTTCGCTTTAAAAACATTGCAGAGCGAAAATGCAAAAATATACATACATATTTATGTATGTACCTATATGTATAATAAACTTTGTTTAAAAATTTGCTTATACTTTTTCACAGATCTTCGCACAGATCTTTATCACTTGCTTTATGCTTTTTACTTTACACATATTTTGTTGTACACTACGCTAATTGATTTGTTTGCATTTGCTCACTTCCAGCCACAGTTCATATACATACATACATATGTATGTATAAATATTTCAATAATCACAAGATACAACAATAAAACGAGAACTTTTCACAAATTTCTTTAATAAATCATTTTCGTGGTACAAAAGTTGTAAAAAACAATTATTATTAAAAGTTTAAAACACAAAACACAATTGGAAAATCTATTTTTCAATTAGTGAGTTTGCAAAGAAATGCCAATGCAGAGCCATTTCCTGTAAAACAAAAAAAAAATCACCCGCAGAACATTCCGTACATCTCGAACAGCGAATTAGCACTCAGCTAACGTCCCACTAATTCCCTCAAACAATGTGCAATTGGCGCATAAGAAAACACTCAAAACGAATTTCCCACACAAACACTGGGGTATTTTTATGCCAGTTAATGCAACTCTGGGCAACAGCTGCTTTACTTTTGGTGTTGCCACGAATGATGGGGAAATTTTATACCAAATACGATTAGGCCAATTCGAACGGAAACGCTTTGTGGCAGTTTTTTTGTGGACCATGTTTTTTTTTTTGGCGGAACAAGTTCCAAACAATCCGTCCGGTGATGGGCACTGCCCTGCCTGCGGGCAAAGCTCTTTTAAGCTTTCTATAGGTATTGCATAGCTCTCTGTCTTCCCATCGCTGATCTACACCATCTACGAATAAATCAGAGCAGTTGGTTGGGTGTTAAAAATCGTAGGTTTGTCTCTCAATACATAGCTGCAAAAGTCTCAAACCTGATCCTTGCAAAGGCGGGGCAGAAGCACAAAAAGTGTTCCGCCGCAGCAAATACCCTTTAGTCTTTAAAACTCCACACCAGTAAGCGTCCTTCGAAAAAAATCCACTCCTTGATGGAGCACAGATCGAATCAAAAAAAATATTCAATTAGTCCTATTGCACATCTATAGAGAAATGAAGAGATTCCGCCAGGCTAAGCAAATTCTTATCCAAGGAACACATCAACGCCAGCCTTATTAAGGGAGAGGTCGATGCATGGACAAAGAACATGGGGGAATCACTAGAGCCTTTCATAAATACACACTTTCCTGGCTGCGACCAGAGGCCAAAATCATGGTATCATACAAGGCGTCGGCAACTCTCAAAAGGGTTACTCGACTCAATCGTAGACAAAGACCCAGACGGTATCATACCGATAATGCTCCAGAGAAATTACAGGAGGCCTTGGTATGCTGGCTGAAAGTATCTACAAAGCCAGACCAATAAGTGATACAGCTTTCCTGCTAAAGGTATTGGGAATACTTGTTAGACTTATGTGTATATAAGGCATTTCTCGACATAGAAGGGGTCTTCAATAATATTACAATCGAAGCAATTGTTCCATCCTTTGTGAAGGTTGGAATAACAGAGCACATACACGAGTGGATCGAACAAAATTTCAGAAACAGAACCATAAATTGGTTCAATGCCGCTATTCCGTGCATGTCGTCGTGGTACTTAACGCAACGTACTGGACCTCTACAAAGATGTAGTGAAAGTACCAGCATATGCAGAGGATGTAGAAGTGGCGGTAACAAGTCTCTTACCCTCAACGATTAGTGTAATCTTAGAGGGAGCTTTGCTCGGGCTATACACATGAGCCACAAAACGTGGCCTGGGTGGGTGTCAAACCCAGTAAAGCGGAACTGATGTTGTCTAACAAGAAAACAAAAATACCACAATGGAATGACTCACATTTTCCCAGCCACGCCCCGCTCCCATCACTTGTGGGTAGGGATGCAAACGATGCATCGATATTTTTGAAACATCGATAATATCGGTTCAAAATTCGATGTTTGCCATCGATGTTTACAATTTCCTAAAATCGCTAAATTGACGATACATCGATGCCAGTTTCAGCGATGTTTTAACATCGAATTATGCTCCTAAAATTTTTTGACTGGCCATGAATTTTTATATATTTTTTCTTTTAAAAGGAACATTCAGAAATTCCGAGTTTACTCTTATCTTTCGATATTAAAAATGCATACTTAGTCATTAAAAAAGGACCGGGATCCCGTTGAAATTTCAATGAAATTGGGCCTTGCAACTTTAGGCTTAGCGAGCTTATGACGGCATGCATTTCTATTCTATTTATAGGGAGGGAATGGTAAATAAATAAGGCAATAATTGAATTACAGAGAGTTGGAATTGACAAGTATTAAATTTTCCTAAAAAATCTCGAAACATCGGAAACCATCGATATATCGATGTTTTTCTGGCGATGTATTTTAGAATCGATGTTCATTTTTTCCGATGCATCGAAATATCGATGTATCGATGTTACTCCCCAAAATTTGCATCCCTACTTGTGGGCGGGAAAGGGAGGTGGTGCGTGTCTCATCGCCAATCTACACTATTATTAATATTTCCGATTTTCACCATACACAAACCGAATTTCAAACCGAATTTCATTGGAATCGGATAACATATACCATATCCGCCCTCTAGTGTAGTGGGTGTGGCAGTTCGCCAAATTTTACCAGATTTCATACTTTTACTTTCCTTTTAATTGAGATACGTTTACTGCCCTTTTATAGAGATGTGCCAATGTGAAGCGTTCACCCTGAAAGATAAACGACGGACGGACGGGCGGACGCAGTTTAAACTGGTTTTACTATCAGTTTAAGCTGAACAAAGTATTTTTGTACCAATCCCCCTCAACTGCACGTCGCACTATGAGCGAAAGAAATTCAAAAAATGAAAACCTAAGAACTATTTTTTTCATATTTTGTCTAATTAGGTAATTGCATGGGGCTCTGAAAAGCTGAATCCAATTTCTTTGTATGATATAAACTCTTCAATAAAAATCGGAGGAATTGTGATCTTCTTAGTAATGGGTATTTTTGAATAACTTTAATGAATGTTTGATTTATGTATATCGATGGCTGAGTGGAAGATCGACCTGCTTATCTCGGCAGCTAGTTCGAAAACGCCTTATCTCAGAAAATTTTTCAACAACGCTTTATCTCAGAAAACTTTTCAAGAACGCCCTACTTCAGAATTTGATTGGAAAACACCCTACCTGAGAATTGGGTTGAATAACGCCCTATCTCAGTTGCCGATTCAAAAACGCCCTATCTCAGCTATTTTCAATGTATTTTCGTTTGATATAGGGTGTTTTTGAACCGAGTTCTGAGATAGGGCGCTCATCAACAAAATTCTGAGTGTTTTTCAATAAAATTCTGAAGTAGGGCGTTCATGAAAAGTTTTCTGAGATAGGGCGTTTTCGAACTGGCTGCCGAGATAGATCGATCTTCCACTCAGCCATCGATATGTTCTCTTAGAGATACACATCGTAGGATGGTATCAATCGATCTACGATCTATACCAAACGTGTGTCACTCTCATACTATAAATCATTGTAGTTGCTACGTTACCATATTCTTTATGACACTAAAAGTGAAACCAAAGAAAATTCAGGGGACAGCAAAGGGTTAAGAGGCCTACAAAAAAAGCTCCACACTTATCCGCCGCTCTTTTTTTGGCTTTCTCAGGACTATAAATGTCCCTATTCCCCAAAAAACTTCACGCAATCTACATATATAAAGTTTAGCAATCACCATTTCCAAACTATTATTATTATTAACTATGACAACGATCGGGTTTCAGGTGTTTTCGACAACGCCAATTACAAATCCATAGTCAGTTTAAGAATTCAAGAAGGTGAATAAAAAATGGTGAACAAAAATGCATAAACTATTTTTTTAGAAATCAACTATTATTTTCGATTGCTGGTTTTTTTCCTTTTAATGCAATTATTGATAAGAACGATTAATTTATCTGTAGTTAGTATGTTAATTTAGTGGCCAAAGCATTCTTTGCCAAGAGTTCATTGTAGCAAACACTAGCATTACAAACGCTGCTGTCAAAGGTTCTATGTAGAGAGGCCTTTACTGTTAGCCTTCGTATGGTAAGTAAAGTGATTAAAACGACAGGATTCATATTGTAAAACGTTTATATATAGTATATCGATTGAAAGCTTTGTTTCGTTATTTAATTTTTACGCACTAACATTTTTGATTACATACATATACATACATACATATTTACTAAGAGGTATGTACAACAATTACCAACATACACTTACTTTCATCTAGATTAAACAGGATTTTGTAATACATATAGTCAAATTTTGTTTAAAAAATATTTTATATATAAAAAAAAAATAATCTTAATAAAACAATTTGTATGTAGTTTGGCATTATAACAAATAGAAAATATTGCAATATCGGTAATTTACGCTTAAAAACTTGCGTTGAAAAATTACACTAGTGAATTGCGGTAACAAGTTTTTTTTTCAAATCTTATTTTGACATTAATTATTGTCCCGGAAGACCAAACACTACCAAATAAACGCACACTTACATATGTAAGTATATACAAGTATTTGTATATATATATACTTTACTCTTATATACATTTACTCGTGCAAAACATACTGATTTTTTCATAGTTGTGTACATGATACAAACAAAGGTGTCATTAAATGGAACTACCTTATGTTTTGTACCGTGGTTATGTTTATATTCGAAACTTTTTTTTACTGAAAAATAAATGTTTGGACTCTAAAAATTGGCTTATTTTTTGTATCTTTAACATTTCGGGCGTAACTTTAAAATTTTATGTTTTTGTCAGATCAGGTCTCAAATGCTCTATTTAGTTCAGGTATGGCTTTAATATGTTCACCTTATTTGTCGTATGAAACAGAGCGAGAGTCTTGCGAAACTGTTCTTGAATCTTCTGGCGTTTCCCTTTGGCGTCGCTTGACCGCCCATTCTACAATGCAGAAGCAGGCTGTGCCTATTGTGCCGAAAACGACTAAAATGCCTAATTGAGCGCGCAAGCCAAGATGCGAGGAGTAAAAAAAGCTGATAGCGGCGGCGATGGACTGCATATGGAAGTAGAAATAAATATTATCTGAGTGTTCAGAAAAAAAGGGAGCACATATGTATATTCAAAGGGTATATTTTAGACAAACCTGCGTAAATTTGAATAACGCAAACGCGCCCACGGAGTTCTTTACATATACCCCACCCAGCATAGAATAGATTTGCGTGTTCATGCAGGCATCACCAAGACCCAACATAAATGCACACAACAAAGCGATCCATGCGCGAGGTGGGTCCATATAGGATATATCTTCGGTGTCCTTGAAGGGCGCATTGTCAGGCAAGTTAAGGAATATCAAGAAAAATGCAATCATGTGTATGACATAGCCCGCAATAACGATAGGATCGCGGCCAAAGCGCGTTGTCTTCTTTCCTAAAATACCGAAGAGACCACCGCCAAACACTTCTCCAGCGCCTATGCAAATGCCAGCGAGACCAACAATTTCCTTTGGTGTATTGTGTATCTTCTTTGTGAAGCCTATTGAGGGACCATAGACGCCACTGAAGAAGGACAATTCCATGCCTGTAAAAAACACATTTATTGACTAAAACAATCTTCTATTCGCAAAGAAATAATAATACGAGACCTGTGTATAGGAATGCCACGCTTAACAGCAACATATCCCGTGTGATAAAGAGATTGCCAGCCGATTTCAGTGCATACACAGCGCTGCCCCAGCCAGTTCGATGTTGTTGCTGCTGCCGTTGCATTTCGGATGTACCAACCGAGTTGTCAGCCATGGGACGCAATGCTGCTAGGAAAACTATACCCAATACTGCAACAGCTGTTAGCACACCAATCACCATGCCGCGTGTGCCTGCATCAATGTGTTCCTTATCTTGGAATTGAAAGTAGACAAAAATGTTGCCGAAGAACATGCTGCATTGCAACAGCGCCCAGAATACACCCGAATTGCGCGAAATGGTGGAGAGATCACTGCAGCGAGCTAAGAAGTTACCCTGACCCGTCCAGGTAATGGCAGCACCAGCGCCCAAAATGCCGCTCGACAGGTAGAGTAACCAATTAGAGGGAAATAAAAAGATGATCATGAAAAGACTGCAAGAGATGAGAACAAAAAGAATAACACAAATTCACATAAAATTTCAATAACTAGCTTACGTATAGGTGAGTGATCCAGCCAACATAGCTACACGTGGCCCTGTAAATGATATGAAGGACGGCGCCAGCCAATTGCATAGTGAAAATGTCGTGTAAATAACTGCCAAACTGGTATAACCGTCACCGGTGAAATTGTTATCCTCTTTCGCAATACTATCCAAAATAGTTTTCTGAAAATATTGAAAATTTATTAATAAAAAATTGCTGTGCGGACATGTAATAAGGTATACGAAGCTAATCAGGTGGGAGAGAGGAATTTATCTAATAACAATGCTTAAAAATATTATCAAAAACTGAGGTCAAGTCAATGCCAACACTCCGAAATACGCACTACTAATATTGATATTGGCTCAAATCCTGATTGTTGTACTTGTCGTTAGGAAAAATTAGAAACTTTACGCTCTCTCAACCATACTCAATCTGCAAATTTCCTATTGGAAAAAATGATTTTAACAAAGTACATAGATTGCGGATGCACCTTGAGTTAGTTTGAAGCATATCTCCCGGCGCATTTATTGACTCTGTAACAGTGCGAAACTAAATTTAGCTGCGAAAACAAGCTTATTAGACTATCGGAAGCAAATTGACTGACATGATTAGCATATAAATATCAGCAGCACATACATATGTTGTATTGTTGTCGTCGTCAATGATAAAAAGTGATTGACCGCTCGCTGGTAAAGCCATAAAAAGCTACATTCAGTTTATCTGTATGTATATTCACTCGTGTCAATGTACGGAAGAGATCTATAGCAAGTAAAGCACTGACACATCATACAACATTAGTACAAGTTCTCTGCCTAGGCATGTGCATTAGGCCGTATCACAAAAGAGAAAAAAAAATACAATATGTTCCAAGCGAATTTGAACATCACTAAAGCCGGTCGTTCAATGTCTGATTAGAACAAATCGAGTGTTTTATCGATCAATGAACAATGTCTAGTTAACACTAAATGCAGGTAAAACTTCATTATCGACACCCTGTTATATGCTATGAAGTCGTTCACTTCGATAACCAGTTTTGGCAAAACGTTAATCATCTGTGTGATTTTAATAAGTAATGGTCAGTTGTGATCACAATTACAAAATTTGGTAGAATTAAAAAAAAACAAAAACAAAAAATGTTCACAGTATCGAAAATACCCTTTTAAAATTTTCCAGTATGCAGTTTTGTAGCCCATTCAATTATAATAAAAGAAAGTGCATTTTTCAAGTCGTTAAAACATGCCATTGATTTTTTAGATTTTTTTTTTGTGGAGAATGTTGCTGTTTTTTATTTCATATAATATTTTTAATCATGCGTTATATGGAAGAAAATACGTATCACCCTCCACAAAAAAAAAATCTAAAAAATCAACGGTAATTTTCAACGACTTGTAACTTGCACTTTCTTATACTACAATTGAATGGGCTACAAAACTGCATACCCGAAAATTTTCTAAATATTCTAGTTAAAAATTTTGATGACAATTTTTTGAAGTTTGATTAATTTTTTTGCGATTTGTGCAAAATTATAAACTTTTATTATTGAATTTTTTTAGATTGAATTATATTTTAAATGAAAGTTATTAAAAATAAATGAATAAACATAATTTGCAACCAGTATCATTTTGAATTTCTTTGCTTTGATCGCATCTGTACATATACACATCTGTACGTATACAACCCAGTGGAGAATGGGCAACGAATTAACTTTTCTATTACGAAAAGATTGGCTATTATCGCCGAACAAAAACATGCATCCCCATGGTAAGCTGATTTGTAATATGTATATATACTCGTACAGTATTGGACATATCTATAGCACCCACCTTTCAAAGCGATATTGTTTGCCACTTATGTTTAAGTAAAATACAGTTCATTTTCAACAAAACCCATATAAACCAATGTTTTAAACTTTTTAAAAGACCACAAAAAAGGCCAACAAACTTTCCCTTAAATTTCAAAATTTTTTCTCAGAAGCTCTAGAATTTTTTTGAGTATACAGTTTTATAGCGCGTTCAATTTTGTCCAATAATGTGCAAGTTTCAAGTCGCTAAAGATTACCGTTGATTTTTTTTTTTGTCTCATTTGCTTCCATATAACGACTAAACACAATTTATTTTTATATGACAGAAACCCGCAACATCCTCGGCGAAAAAAATTCTAAAAAATCAACGGTAATTTTTAGCCACTTGAAACTTGCACATTATTAGACTAAAATTGAATGGGCTATAAAACTGTGTATTCAAAAAAATTCTACCGCTTCTGAGAAAAAAGTTTGAAATTTGGGTGAAAATTTGTTGCACTTTCTTGCGGTCTTTTAAAAAGTTTTAAACTTGAGTTTATGTGAGTTTTGTGAGAGAATGAACTGTATTTTAATTGAAAATTCTTAAAAATAAATAAACAAAGATGAGTGGCAAACAATACCACTTTGAAATGGGGGTGTATTGGCCAATACTGTATATGGGTGTTTCCAGCGGAAGGTCCACCACGACAAAAAAAATAAAAGTTTTATATCTAACGTATTTACGGGCCGATTTGTCTGCTTTTTAAAATATATACTGGCTATATAAGTAGAATCATGTTTGCATAAAATGGTCTTTCTAGGTGGTGCCAAGGTCGAGATATTTCGAAAAACCGTATTTATGGTCCGATTTGGTTCGAATATGTGGTTGAAACATAATAAATCATAGATTTCCAATAAACTGACCCTGAATTTGAGCTGAAGTCAAAATATAAAGTATTTTCTACATAAAATACATGTTTTATTTGCGTTAAAAATTCATTTAAAAGCAATATTAACAATAATATAACGATGGAAATTTATGTCACGTGACGCCATGTCACGTCACGTTTCACACTTGGGGTTGTAAAAGAGAATTGAAACAATTTGCATTAATTCAAAAAACTCTAAAAACAACTAGAATTGTTCCAAATCATATTAAAATAAGTTTTGTAAGATTTTGTAAGAAAAGAAAAAATCAACTTCCATTTTTTGCCACGTAACGACCCTCTCTTTAAATGTTTATATTTCAGGACCAAGCAGTTCGATTGATTTCATTTTTCGGTTAAATATAGAGCTAATTATGTGCTATACAATGGCCCAAAAAAGTTAAAGAAAACAAATGGTATTCCTTTTTTGTATCACATTGAAATCGTACGACTGTCACGTGCGCCACCATGAAAATGCCCATATGTAGTCTCCAGCGCTCAATTCATAAGGCCCAAAGTTTTTTAGTGCTATTGTTTTATTGAATTGGTAAGTATGTACATATGTATGTATTATTGATAGGTAAGTATGTATGTATGTACATATATCGGAGCTTCAATGGATTTTAATGTCGAACAAAAAGTTAAATTTGAATTCTGTGGCTGTTAAAAGAGACTTATAAAAAAGTTTACGTTCTTTTTTTTTAATTTGATATATAAAATGCATTGATCGGTAGTACATGTGCATATATCATCGTTTAAAGTTCAAAACCGCGTATCAACAAAATGCAAAACCGCGTATGTGAACTTGTAGATTTCATTTTCTAGCGCGTAAAAACACTCATATTTCAAAAGGGTTCCCTTTTTTATAAAGCAATCGCATTTCTGGCTAGTATATTTCAGGACGAATGGCTAAGGATTGAGCCAAGAGCTTGTGTGAACAAATCCAATTTATGGCAGCCAATGTCTGTTACGCGGTTTTGCAGAATAACGATACGCGGTTTTGTACTTTAAACGACGATATGTATATATGCTTTTACATCAGGTTAAAACAAGCAAGGTTAAAAATCCAGCCCATTTATACACAAGAGTATATTTAATTAATATTAATTAAATATCATCAAGCGTTGAAAATGTGGAAGTACAAATACATAGCGATGGTCAAAAAAATCAATAGTGCCGCTGGATAATTCTTACCAAACTGGAAACTCAAGTGCTTAGCGCAAGTTTTTCGTAAAAGTTCATTAATAAGTAAATATTTTATAAACTGGAGCTTGAACAAACCGAAAGTTCAAAGTTGTGTTGCTAAAAATAATAATACGAAGAGATCGTTCAGTCCGATGCCGAGTCGCATCGTATTGGCCTAATAGTAGGTCGTGAGGCTAACTCACAAAACACTATTGCATCCTCTGGATTGGTAGCACAAAATATAGGTTTACATTATCACCAGCAGACAAGAAGTGATTGATCTAACCTTAAAAAACCAGTTATGGCGGATGATATCAAAGAAGTGAAGGTCTTGGAAGAAGAATTTCAATCTGGGCTCGAATCGTCACATACGATATCGCATTACTCGTCACGTAAAAAAACATTTCTCTGATTATGACATACGTACCCTTTATGCCATTTAGCTTATACGACTGACGCACAGTGGTTCGAATAGAAGATCTAGCTTGACGAAAGTCAAAATTTTATTTGTTTTTAAATTACTTTTGGGTACTTGGACTTGGAATACATTCGGAACAATATATTTAAATAGAAATAGCACATATGGAACATATGGAAACAAAAAAAAGTTAAGTCAATGGCGTCTATTTGAGAACTCTATTATAACAACTGGAATTTAACTTAAAAAATTGCTTTTCTCACTCACAAATATTTGCATATTGGCAAATTGATTTTATAAATTAAAAACTACACTTATTTCTCTATAGATTCATAATTCAATTTTTGTGCACATTGTTTAAGGAAATTTAAACCGGAAATTCGTGGTTTGTCCAGTTAAAAAAATACTGTAATAAGTAGCAAAAGTAAAGCCTGCTAAGATTCTATTTGATTTGGTCATACGTAATGCACTAAAATATTCAGCAAGAAAGGCAGTAAAGGTGTTTCTGCAAACACTGGACATAAATCCCATAAATTCGACCCTGGATATCTGTAAAGCTTGGTAAAACGCAACTGTACTATTTTGTTTATAAATACATATATCGATTTATAAGCCTGCCTTAGTTGTTCTTATTATTTCGAGCACGTCTGTTTGTGCATTGAACTGTTTACTCTGTTGAGTGATCAGCACATTGTCTGTATGTAGAAAAATATATATGTACATACATATGTATGTACTTAGGTATGTACGAAGAATGTAAAGAAATACGATAACAAATTGAAAATGTCGCGCAAAAATTAATTTAATGATGCATAAATTATCTACAGTCGCCAGAGGGCATACAATTAATGACGCAAAGAGGAAACGATACCT